TTTACAATGGGTTAACAGTGACATTACAACAATTTATCAATTACAGTGATATTTAATCTTGTTAGAACCTTTGTTAGAACCTTTGTGTTGTACTGTCCATACTGCAAGTCCAAAATATTCAGCAGCGCCTGATGTGCTCCACAAGTTAATGTTGACTAGACCTCCATATACATTTATTGCAAGGCAAAACTGTAAACAGAAACTGAGTGGATTCTAAGGATCTGGTGTTATTCTTGATTTTAATGGACAATGACAAAAACTCACCTCTTAAAATAATACTGGAAAACAATACCTTAAGTGTGAGAGGCTGCTTTACATTTGGGATTAACAAAGACGTTTTGCCAGAATATACTTCATTCTGAACAGTAAAAAATTGGTCATTAAAAATGTAAATCAACAATTCCGCATCACTCAATGTAAAATTTTCAACATTTCAAGACATATTGAAATTATTAAATGTTATTGCTTTATGCTGTCTCTACAGTATATTGTAAGCAACGGGTTTTCCCCAAGTACACAAAAAAATGGTCTTACACGAAACTTCCTGTAAACACTGTATTTCTTCATCCACCACAGAATATGTTTATTTACGACAGACAGCCATGACTAGCAGAATATACTTGTTACCTGTTTATGTGCAATTAGAATAATTTTGAGGTCTTTATCGCTATGCAATGAATGCATATTGAGAGCTGTACACTGTTACACACTTGTGAAGCACAGGAGCAGCTGATGAAGATCAGCAATATTTGAACTCAAGTCAGGGTCATTAAATTCTGCAAGCATTTCTTGCAAATTAAACAAATGTAAAAATCATTTTAGCATACATTCAATGTGGGCAATACACACTGTGCATGAGAAACTGTTGATGAATAATTTCGAACAGTCTGTTTACTTGCATGGCTGTGGGATCCTCCTTAAACACTCCAGATTGTCCAACTATGGAGAAATGGGCACTTATTAAAAACAAATCCATGCAAACCTTTTGGGGTTTTCCGGACAAACTTTCATTAGAGACTGAAATGATCATTTCTAATTTGAGTGGCTTTTTTTCTTAACACACATGCCACACTACTATTGAAAACAGCATTACTCTATGAGAATCTAATCAAAACAAGCTTATCAATCCATTATCCAAACATACACTTTTGCTACTAATATATTTTATTATTTCTTTCATGCAACACGTTCCACATTATACTGACAAACCTGTGGCTTCAACACTACATGTACTACAGCGTGGCAGTCAACTTTGTCAATGCCACAATGCTTCCACATGCTAGCTTTCAATCTTTAACACTTACATACATGTTTCTCCCGCCCTTTCTATCTGCTACCAACAGCTAGCATGATGACAGAAATGATCAGAGGATGTTAACGTTAGCTACTACACTGTTCACTGCTATAACACATTGACAATATTATTCATATGCTGAGACACTCACCTGAAACAAGGCCTGGTTGATATGTCCACTCTGGCTTCTTTCAAGCTGATGTTAAATGTAGTGGTATAGTTATTCCGCAGCAGTCCCGTTGTCCATACAGGAGGGCAGCGCAAGTAACGTCTCCGGTAACGTCTTTCAAATCCAGTGTCCCGACATGCCCCCTATGGAGCTGATTGGTCGGGCACTCAATCATGTCAACCATTTGTCAGTCCTTAGCCTTGTCAAACAACTGGCCAATCATTGTTGTCATCATTGTTTGACGGATAATTTAAAATTTAAATCTGCACAGGAATTACATCAAGTGAAGTGTGTTGTAGATTAAATAGTTTAGTGTTACATTGATTTATAGATTAAATTATTGAGCTGATTACTATAATAATAATAATAATAATAATAATAATAATAATAATAATAATAATAATAATAACAATAATAATAATATTTTATTTAATTAATTAAAAAATATATATACACTGCTAAATTATCAACACGAACATTACAGATAAATGAATAATGAATGACATCTTTATTATGGTGTCTATATGTCATTTTATGGAAATGATTACACATTTCTGTCATTTTATATAAATTTCTTTAGTATTATTTGGATGCTAAAATTACATTACATTTCAACATATAAAAATGTCAAATTGCCTTTAAAAAGCATAATAATAATACTGTAATCTTATATTATGGTTGATTACTTGTAATTTTAAGGATAAATCTTTACATTTCTGCACTGATCTACAATTATTACATTGCTCTAAAGAAAACTCGTGATATACCTGTAAAAAAGAATACAGAACATTAAAACCTTATTAACCTAATCTTGAATCATGATTTTAATTATCTGGAATTTTATTGGTAAAAATGTAGATTGCTCCCAATATAGCCAAACCTACAGGGATTTTATTGTTTTTTGAAAAGCATGGTAATTTTAGGAGCAAAACCTAAAATTACAGAAAAAAAAGTAAATCCATAGGCCTTTCCTTCTTTTATCGGAAAATGAGAAAAATCTGTAAAAAAAATTAGTGTTTTTTCTGAAAGTTCCTTTTTTTTTTTTTTTTTTTTACAGTGAGGAGACGGATGGACTGAACATCCAGTACAGGAAAGGGAACAAAATTAAAAAGTAACAGATTAAAGAACTTAAACTACAGAATATAATCAAGGGCTAGCAACTAAGCTAGGCAACAGGATCAGATTAAACACAATAAGAATAACTAGTGCACTGAAATGATTACGCTAAGGCTTGGTAACAGGTTCAGATCAAACAAAGTAAGCAAGCAGGAAAGCTGAGACAGCAGAATCACTATGCTACTTTGCCAGCTACGGGGAATCAAGGTCTTGTAAGGCGTGCATATTCTGCAGAGGCTTAGGCCAGTCCTGGAGTGGGGCCTGAGGCGAGCGTAGGCGGGCAGGTAAACAACCCAGGGTGGCGTGCAGCGTAAGAGTGCGGCAGAATGTGGAGCAGTTTGCTGGAGGGTGACCAGGGCAGACAGGATGAAGACAGGGCAAAAGACCAGAAAATGGTCAGGTGAGTCTACAGTCTGGCGTAGAGTCGAGGAATGAGCCGTGTCTTTATGGACAGGGAGATGATTGCGTTCAGGTGAGCCGGTCCCTGCACAGCTGTTTTCACTCTCTTAATGAGGCACACTCACACAGCACCAGCACAGCGAGGGAGAGGAGAACTGTCAGCTAAGCAGAGGCTGGGACAGGGATCCTGACACATGGTACTTCCTCTCTGCTCCACAGAAGCTAGCTACTGGTACACCAGAGGGATGTACTACGAAACAAGTTTGACATAGCCAGGCTTTCTTTGTGTAAGCCGAATCGACAAAACCGAAAGCCCCAGCCAGAGATTACGGGTATCACGAAGGTGGTTATCAACTTTCTTTGTCAACTCAGGCTTTCTGCTTCAGACTCTGTGCGCGTTTACATAAAAAGGGGCGTTTAACGTGTCACGTGACTCTTCTTCTGCACAAAACGAAATGATCGTGTGCAGTTGCTTCAGTCAACACGTTTTAACGGAGAACAATGAAGAATATATACATTTTAAAAATGTGATGGTAAAAAGCGCTGCTACTGCAAATGGTGCAAGACAGGAATGCTGGTAGAAAACTGTTAAACGTGTTCATATATAATATTTTACCGATTTATTTCCAACTGACAGCTGCATGTTTAAAGTTAAACTCTAAACTTCATACATTTAAACATGATCTTATATTGAAGTACATTTAGGTCTGACACTGTCCCATAATGCAGAAAATCACTTTATTGTTTGGCCCAATCAGAGCGAAATTAATGTTATTGATTGAATAGTCTCTGGAATAAATACCAGTAGAATAATCCATTTTCTCATCTGCAGTACAAGCAGTGTAAACGGACTTGACAGAAAATTAGAGCCAAACATAAAAATATTATTTATGTGATTTCTGCATCACCGGTCGTTGTGGTGGTACATGATATATATTCGCCCGCAACTTAACCCCCGCCCCGCCACCACTGTCGCCGATGGTGGCAACAGAACTGTGACTGCTAACCTAAACTGGCATCAGCAGCCAAGTACTGCCTGTGCGGAGTGCTCGGTCTCCGTCTCCACCGACAGTGTGCGATGTTGTAACTACACAGCTTCATTCAGTGATATTAGTAACACACATCTCAGCATGTTAGCAGATAAAACACATTCTCATCAGCTGAGAATCTGGATCACTCATAAATAATAGTCAGGAAATGATCTGGGAGATGCTCTTTCCAGTCGATTTAAATCCAAAACTCTGAACATAACCTGCTCCAGACCAGGTTAGCTCCACAGCATATGTTACCATTGAGATCTAGCCAGGTAAAAAGAGAACCTAGGTGGTACTGAAAACTCTGGCTTTAAGCTTAACATACCTCGCTAACCCACTAATCTCGCTTCGTAGTACAGCCCTCTGCTGTCAATCTTCTTTTCAATCCTGCAGTACATCAATGCCGGCTTTCCATCCAGTCTTCACAAAATATTTCTGTCTATAATCGTATCTATCTAACAATCAAGGCTGCTTCGTACTCCTAGTCAGTTAATTCTTAGTTTGAGCAGTTGTCCTACACTATTGTCTTCATGCCTCAGGGGATCTACCTGACAGCTAGTCTGTCATCATGCTCAGCCTCACTTTAATGCTACCAGCCTGCCCACTCTCCTCCACCTTCCCAGCTTCTACCTGTAGCCTGGCTACTTAGACTCACGTACATGATTCTACTTGCCTTCCTCTGCCATCACAGGCCTGCCCCATCAACACTCATTCCCTTCTCTCTTTTTCAATAAACCTTTTCTTAACACTTATTCCAGAATCTGTCCTGCTTTTGGGTTCGTTTTCTGTTATCATATAACACAACTGCTCAGTCACTGTTTTGACAAATCCATTTTTCTTCAGAAACCTAAAAACAATGCAGCAGTGGATGAAACCAGTAGACACTGGATTACATAAATTCAACGATGCATTACACAATTCACTACTTATGTTGAATTATATTGCCCTGTTTTGTATGTATCACTGAACCATGCCATTATCACAGTACCTATGGTTGTGATGACGGTTCCAGCAAAGAAGAAAGCACTACCCAGATCCCAGTGGCTGGAGTTGTAGGAGGTATCACCGATAGGATTCACTCCAGCATTCACAGCCTCCACAGAGTGCTAGAAAGAGAAGCAGACAAAGAGGCACATAAGAAAAGTTTGCTCTCACTGTGTTTTAGCGTCAACATCTTGCTGGAATGGCAAACTCTTTAGTGTGTGCGCTTAGCTGTGAGGAGACAGCTTTCACTTCTAAGTGCTGTGTTTGCTGCTGTTGTCAAGTTGTGGGTAGTGTTTACTATTACTGGACCACACAAACAAATCCAACAGATTTGCCTCTGTTTTTAAATGACATTTTTCAGGACATAATATTTGTGTGTATCTTCTGTTGCAGGACAGAAGCCTAGTTTTTAACTGTCAGGAGACTATTTACTAGAGTTTAACGAACCATTATGCAGCAGTCTGCATTTTGCTTATAGTTTCATTTACAAGAGACATGACATGTCCTGTGATAAGTTGGCAACTTGTCCAGGGTGTATCCTGCCTTCACCCACGTCATCTGGAACAGGCTCCAGTTAATTTCTTCTTATAATACTGCCATATGGTCTGAATTAGTCTCAAGCATCTGTTCCCTTGTGGTTCAAAGTTGTTTAATCTATATTTTAGTCAAACTAAGTTTCTGTTAATTTTCCAAATTGTTTTTGACTTATTCTAGAGGCAATCTCAAGAGCTTAAATTCTAATAAATGTCTCTTAAGTCAGTATCATATATTTCAAAATGAGGTTACACAATGTGACTGACCCGATGACCCACCGATGAAATTATATGGAAGTTTATACAGTATTGTGAGCTGAGTACTTGTGGCGACATTGCCACTCAAAATTACAAGACGCATTCAGTTCAATACAAAGTAGCCTATGTAAGCACTATTTAAAAAGTCTTTGTGTAAGCAAGTGACATTATGCAATGGAGCTTTAGGTCACTAGTGAAGGAGTCCAATGCTAAAAGCCACAGAATTGGACTCTACAATGATTTAGTCCATTGTCTCTGAAGGTTTTGTATGACATAATTGTTTGTACATGTATTGAACATCTCTCACATTCCCTGAGTAGAACTACTACTAGAGTTCTTTGTATAGGCTATTTTTTTTCTCTCGAAATCCCCCAAATTTAGCCAGCCAAAGTTGCAAAATTGTAAAGCTACAATGAACAATCTTGGGATATGTGGATAAGAGACACTTGGCAGAGCTGTTTCATGAAATATGAAAAACTGACATTTTTACCTCTGTTAAATAACAGCCCATAGTAAGGGACACAAATGTTTTTTTATTCTGTTCAAAAAAGTCTTAACTGCAACACTGCAAAATTTGAGGCAACAGATATTATGCACTACATTGCTATGTTCATTTTAACCACTGTAGTACTGGATGGCCTCTTGAGTGAATGGGCCACACTTGGCTACTGTCACAAAATACTACCAAATGGCTTTTTATAACAGATATATCATGGTGCCAGCACAGGGACCTCCAGTGTGGAAGAAGTTAAAGATTATGAGAGGCATTTTTCTGCCTTTATTTAAGAGTGCATCCACGATAGGACCAGGCGGGGGTGGCACAAGCCATCTCACTGATTTCAATGAAACTTAGACAGTTTAAAGGGGTCCACCCAAAACTACTTCAGTCTAAGTTTAAGGAAATTTGGTCAAACTGGGGGGATTTCACCACCCTTCCTTGGTTTTTTTTTTTTTGCAAAAATGACCAAAAATCGCCTAAAAAATGGTCAGAAGTATAAAGCTCTACTGCTATAAGAATTCAGCCAATTTTTTTCATATTTTCAGTGAATGTTATGCTACCCAAGGACAATCTATTGTCAATGCTTCGTTCTCCTACGACGAGTTCCATCACACAAATCATGTCAGCCAAGACCGCCTCTCTCACCCAACAGTGAAAACTGTTAAAATACCCGAAGTTTAGGCCAAAATATCTCTGGTGCCCGTGCATGCTTCAAAAAGCTGAGCATACCGTCTAAAAGGTGGGACTTCATAATAACATTATCTGCAAAAAAATCTTTGGGCACTCACTAAACTATTTTACAGTAGGACTACAAACTTGTCTCCCACCGCAGGTTACCAGCTTCAGTTTTTTTTCATTATAACGCATTGATTCTGTAATTATGGCACAGCAACAGACAGAAAATGCCACAAAATGGTTACACACCATACACTTCAATGAAATAGAACCAATTACATTTAATTGCTTAAATAAAAACAAATACTTTGCCCACCACAGGGTATCCGCGTACATTTTTTTTTTTCCATTATAACGCATCAATTCGGTAATAATGGCATAGCAACAGACAGAAAATGTTGCAAAATGGTTACACACCATAAACTTTAATGAAATAGAACCATTTTGAAAGCTTTTGTTTTACCTAAGCCATAAAAATAAGAATCGGCAGCTTAAAAATGACCTCTATCTGTATAAGTGAACTATGTGACGGGACTCCCTCTTCGCTAAGTCAAACCAGGAGTCATAGAACACTATCAAAATGCTTACTTTGTCTGTATTTGAATGTGAGAATGATTTTATCATAAAAAAAAAAAAACATAGCTTTTGTTCGTCTAATAACGGAATAATACATTTGCTTGAAACTTGCACGCCTGACATCGCATCTTGATGCAGACAACTTTATCAAAAAGACTTTGTTCTACTGAAAATAAATCGATTCGCTTACGACTCAATTTTGGTTGCTTAATATGCCTAAAAAGGAGAAAAGCGTTTGGCTGTAAAATAATCCATTGTCAGTCCTGATAAACCAGAGGAGTCACAGCCTGATTCAAGCTGCGCTGCGTCGAGCATAGAGGATTGGAAGTCACACGTTCTCTGTTCAGTTCACCAGGATGAGGCCAAGAGTACAGTTATTGATAACCTGAAACCATTGCACATGCTGCTCATAGTGGACTGGGCCATGAAGTTCATTCCAACCAGTTTTTGGGAAACGCAGCACGACTGGTTTGGAAAGAAGGGGAAGTCCTGGTATCTATCGGTGGCCATCACTAAAGCAGGAGATGGAACGATTGAGGTAGGAATCACGTGCCTTCTCCTCTGTCTTTATCGCTCGCTGGCCACTGCAAACTAGTTTCTCGTGAGCCCGCTCTTGTGCCAGCGATGCCATGGAAAAAAACTTTACAGATCCAACATTGCAGGCCCACCAAGTGATGATCTTTCCGCTTTCAATGAACACAAAGTTGTTCAAAGACTAAATGCCACTCAGCAAGTGCTTGGTCATGTTTTGGGACCTTTTGTCAACCTTGCACACCACTGAGGAGCAGCCTTTGATGCCTCCATGTGAGTCAAAAGGAGCTTTCATGTCTCTGGCCATCTTGACGTCATTGTCGTCATTAATGTAGCGCCTAATGTAACTTTTCAGGGCAGTGGCTCGTCTGTCACGTATTTCTTTCCCAGCATGGGTCTTAGTGAAGTCATAATGAGCTATGAAGACACCAACATGCTGTGCAAGGCTTGGAAGACTGAGAAGAAGAAATGCGCAGAGATAATAGCCTGCGTTGTCAGATCTCAGCAAGGCTTCATTCAGTCTTGATTCTTGTCACTTCATGGTGCTTAGTGAATCTTCGATGATGGAGGCAATGTTGACCAGTTTTGATTGAATTAATCAAATAAGTGGATATATGTACGTGTCTGAAAATTATAATAATAAAGCATTGTTAGCATGAATAATGCGCCAAGGGACCCAGTCACAGGGCTAGTGGAGGGCTAACATGCACATTTTGACTCAGAATAGAAATAATATCCAGGATTTTTTTTTTCCTTGTGGCTGTTAATTTAGATTTAAAATGTACTCCGTCCCATGAACTTTTGCGCACGCTTATGTGCATAACCAACGTTTTATTCTCATACAAGTGAAAATCAATGAAATTTTGAAATTAGCACTCTGAAGAATATAGGCTTTCACATCTTTCTTGGCTTTCTTATCAGTTATCCAAATTTGTAATCGGTTAGCGCAACAAAGAGCGGGCTCACAAGAAACTAGTTTACAGTGGGCAGCGAGCGATAAAGAAAGAAGAGAAAGCACATGATTCCTACCTCAATCATTCCATCTCCTGCTTTAGTGATGGCCACCGATAGATGCCAGGACTTCCCCTTCTTTCCAAACCAGTCGTGCTGCATTTCCCAAAAACTGGTTGGAATGAACTTCATGGCCCAGTCCACTATGAGCAGCATGTGCAATGGTTTCAGGTTATCAATAATTGTACTCTTGGCCTCGTCCTGGTGAACTGAACAGAGAACGTGTGACTTCCAATCC